GTGTGCGGCACGGCCCCGCTCCCCCGCGGCGCCACCGCCCAGCCCCGCCGCTGGCCGCTGCAGAGAGTCGCCCGGGGCATGGCCGTCGCCAGAGCGCCCGTGTCGAGGGCCCTGGGCCCGGGAACCCTCCAGCGACGCCCGAGGAGGCCCGAGCCACGTCCGCGCGGGAGGGGGGGGGGAGGGAGGAGGGAGGAGGGAGGAGGGAGAAGGAAGGAGGGAGGGGGGAGAAGGGGGAGGGGGGAGGGGGAGGGGAGGGGGGAGGGGGGAGGAGGGAGGAGGGAGGAGGGAGAGGGCGCAAAAGAGAGGAAACGTGAGGCTGTGTGGTCACTTGTGTGTGTGTGTGTGTGTGTTCGCGCTTGCGCGTTTGCTCCAGATCCCCGGCGGCTGCCGCGGCATGGCGTCGCCGTCCGCCCACGGGTTGCGCCGAGAAGCGCGCGCGCGCCCGGGGCGCGCGCCAAGGGGAAGGGGGAGAGGGGGGAGGAAAACGAGGAGGGAGGAGGCGGATCGGGCGGCACTAGAGATGCTGTTCCAGAGCGTTCCAGAACGCTCTCGGAGCGTTCCGGAGCGCTCTGAGGGGGCCGCGGCGGCCGGTGCATCCTCCAGATGCGCCGGCTCTCAGAGATCCCCGATTTGTCCAGGTCCAATGTTATCCCTGTTCTGGTTTCGTCTTGGTGGAGGGGCATGTGCGCGAACTAATGGGGGCGATAAATGACGAGGGAAGAAAGGTGCCCTTCTCGGACCCTGAAGGCTCGCTCTGGGGCCTTACAGGGCTCCTACAGGGGCCCTCGATGGCCTCTTTTCTGCAGCCCTCGCTGCCCCCCCATTTATCGCCCCCCCATTGAAGTCGCAGACAAGGGGCGTGAGCGGTGGAGGGATTCCCCTCTCGCCACCTCGGGCGCAGTTGGGCCCCCCCTCCGCCCCCGCGCAACCCCGGGACTGAGGAGGTCGGAGCCCCGGGCTCGTCGGGAGGCGTCCCGTGCTGTGGCCGCAGTGCGCCTGTCGTTGCCGTCGTCGCCGCCGCCGCCGCCGTCGTCGTCGTCGTCGGAGTCGGAGGAGGAGGAGGAGGAGGAGGAGGAGGAGGAGGCGAAGCAGGATGAGGGAGGATCGAGGAGGCAGGACGAGGATTATGATGATGAGGAGGATGAAAAGGGAGGACGGAAAGGTAATAGGAGGGGGAGGATGAGAAGGAAGGAGGAGGAGAACGAGGGAGAATAGATGCGAAGATGCTGGTGTTGACGGTGATGGTGTTAACGATTAACAAAAGTATATGATGATGGTGGTGTTGTTGGCGATGGTGCTGATACTGATGCTGATGTTGATGTTGATGCTGATCACGATGATGACGATGATGACGATGATGATGCTGTTGAGGATGATGGTGGTGACGATGCTGATGCTGATTATGGTGCTGAGGGTGAAGATGATGTCGTCGAGGGCTATGACGATGATGATGCGCACGACGACGATCTGGATGTTCATGATGATGATGATGATGATGATGATGATGATGATGAGGAGGAGGAGGAGGAGGAGGAGGATGATGACGATGGTGACGACGGTGATGATGCTGATGGTGATGATGATGCTGATGAGTAGGATGCTGCTGATGATGATGAGGAGAAGGATGATGATGATGTTGATGATGATCCTTATACAGATGGGAATCATTATGGTGGTGGTGATTGTAATGTTGGCGGTGATGGTGAGGATGACGCTGATGTTGATGAGGAGGAGGAGGAGGCGGAGGGACGAAATCATGAGGAGGATGAGGGGGAGGAGCAACAGGAAAGGCAGGATGGTTATGGCGATCAAGCCAATGATGATCACGAGGGACAAATCATTCAGACACAAGTAGTCGTCGATTCCCCGGAGGATATGGAAAACATGGGACGTGGAGGGGAAGACGCCAGGGAAACTTGGCATTTGTGCCATTTACTTGTGTGTCCCTGGGTGCCTTCAGACGAGGGGGAGCTCCCGCCGCCCACTTCTCACTCTCTCCGGGGCCCTGCGCGGGCGCGAGCCCGCGCCTTGCCCCGCGGGGCGGGTCTCGCCGCCGGCAGGCGCGGGCGCTGCGACCGCGGGGACCGCTGCAGGTTCTCGCACGGCGAAGACGACCCCAGGCGGCCCTCCCTTGCCGATCTCTGGTCCGGCGGCTTCGGCCGACGGGCTGCGAGCCGTCGGTTCCCGCTGCCTTTTGCTCCTCGCTCTCCCGCTCTTGCGAAGCGCTCACGGTGCCGAGTCCTGGCTCAGACTGGGGAAGAGGTGCCGATGCAGCTACCCTTGCCTCGTTTTCGCCTTTTTGGGACCTTCCTGGAGGCCCTCGTCACCACCGCTGGATTCAGCTCGAATTTCTAGTCAGTATGTATCCCTGGAGAGGTCCAGGGAATAGCAGTATCACAATATTTTGTCTGCCCCACTTTCACAACCATAGCCGTGTCTTGGCACTTCCATCCAAAGTGTGCAGGGGGACGCACCTCTGCCTGGACCCCAGAAGTCCTGT